CCACTGGCAGGTAAAACAGCAATTATTCATTCTGGTCCCATACACTGGGCACTGATTATTTCACTGTGGAACAGCAGCTCTGACAGCCAACTATATCCAAGTTTTTACAGGCAACCCTATGAAAGTTCTCAATTCAATCTTCATCATCCCACCGGGTAATGGACTTTGCAGTGGTACAAACTCTGCTCTAACTAGCTTCAGACACATTATCAACAGCTGAAAGGTGATTCCTAAGAAAGCAATTGTGGCAGCAGAGCTGGTGCAGCAGTCAGACAGATGCTGGCTGCTTTAACTGAGTTGGGAATAGAAACAGACCTGAACAAGAAATGGCATTTTTGATCACAAAGAATGGGAACTTTTTCTAAGAAACAGATTTATATCCTAATGGAAAACATTAGATACTAATTTTTCCCCATACTTGTCACATTTTCATAACACTCAAGAATAAGCTGAACAAAATTCCATGGGTAGTTCTAGCCCCACCTCTGCAGCTCCCTGAAGTCCTGGGCATCTCTGCCAGCAGCCTGCCAAAGTACAAAACCAGCAATGCTGGAGGCCCAGCTCTGCAGCAGCCCACCAGGCAGGCAGGGAGCCAAGCAAGGCAGGAAAACAGGGAGGTTCCTCATCTAAGCTTTGCTGACACGGAAAAATTCCCACAAACGTTTTGCTTTTAATCAACACTTGCTGACTGAAAACTCTTTACCAAGAAAGTTCAACCAGCTCTACCCAAAAGCAACTTGACAGGCATAACTCCTGAATTGTCACAGCTGAGGGGGAAAAAAATTAAAATTCAGTGGTCCTTTCATGTGCCATGCTTTGTACTCCGGTATTTAAATGAATGCCAGAATGGCCTCGCTGGCGCTGCCGGAGCCTGGCTGCCAGCCCTGAGCCACGAGCGATGCCGGGCACGCTCCGACACCGCCCGGAGCCCTTCCCGTCCCCTTCCTTCCTTCCTTCCTTCCTTCCCCTCCTTCCAGCGCCTGATGTTCATCTCGGACAAGTTCTGCAGCGGGGCTGCCTCTGCTTTTCGGGGAAGAAGCGGCTCAGGAGCGCAGCGCAGCCTTCAGAGAGCAGCGGAGGCTGCTTCACCCCGGTCCCAGCGCGGCTGCCGGGAGCGGAGAGATGATGGGAGCGGGGAGATGATGGGAGCGGGGAGATGATGGGTGCGGGGAGATGATGGGAGCGGGGAGATGATGGGAGCGGGGAGATGATGGGAGCGGAGAGATGATGGGAGCGGAGAGATGATGGGAGCGGAGAGATGGGAGCGGAGAGATGGGAGCAGACATGGGAGCAGGGCGGTGGGAGCACAGGAGCGCCACGGGTCCCGGCCCCGCTTCGCCGGTCCCGCACTGCATCCCGGCCCCACGCGTGTCCTGGCCCCGCAGCACAGCCGGACCCCACCCCGGGGCTCGGCTCCGCTGGCCCCGGCCCCTCCACAGCCCCTTGGCCAGGGCGGTTCCCGGGCACCTGCGGCTCTCGGCCCGGCCTGAGCATCCCCCGGCCCCGCAGCACCTGAGCACCGCGGAGCCGGCACCGCCCTCCCTCCTCCCCCGAGCTCCGGCACGGCCCCACGGGCGGTCCCGCCCCGCACGGCCCCGCACGGCCCCGAACCGCCCCGCATGGCCCCGAACCGCCCCGCATGGCCCAGAGACCGGCCGAGCTCCTGCCGGGCGCACCCACCTGGACGCGCAGCGCATCCCCCGGAGCGGTTCATCCCCCCGGGCTGTGCATCCCCCGGAGCGGTTCATCCCCCGGGCTGTGCATCCTGCAGGGCCCTGCGGGGCAGCGGCAGCGCCGGGGCCGGCCGGGGGTGCGGGGGGTGAGGGCGGGGCGGGCACGGGCGGAGGAGGTGAGGGGCGGTGCGGGGGCGGTGCGGACAGGGCGGGGACGGGCGGACACGGGAGGATACAGGAGGATACAGGAGGACAGGGGCGGACACGGGAAGACAGGGGCGGACACGGGAGGACACGGGCGGTGCCAGCTCCGCCCGGACCAGCGCGGTCCCCTCCTCGCGATGATAAAGGGCTTGAGCAGTTGGTGTAAAATTATGAATGTTTCCCTGATGCTGTATTGCCCACATTGCAAAGGTTCCCATTGCCCAAAGGACCTCCTGCATTAAGCAGTGTAGTTTCTTCACCAACTTCTGCACGATGCCCGCAGCTTCACGTGGGAGGTCACACGGTGGAAAGGCTCGTGTGACAGGAGGAGGCTGTGCCGTGGAGCTCAGACCTGCACCCAACAAAATCTAAACTGCTGTGGAAGCTCAATTAAAGAAAGGTCCAGGTCTGCCTTGAAAAGTACAGTACCAGGACTAACACATCGTTTTCAGCCCAAGCCTGGCTCATTTCCTGCTCGGTGGAATAAATCTCGCTTCCTGAACTTGCTGTTCCTTTGGGTTATGTGAACAGATCTGTTGCTACAGGCGGTGCATTCACAATGAGATCCACTCCAGTCTGCTGCTCAGAGAGGACTGAACCTTCTCCATGCTTTTTCAAATTTAATAATAAATCACTTATTAAAGCATAGAAACAAAGCCAGCCATTTGTGTCCCCTCCCACAAAAAAGAAAGTAGGAATTATACAAGATATCACCATTCCTTTTTTTTTCATCACACTGTGATTTTTCCTAAAATGCAATTTTCTTACTGAAAGAAATGGCTGATAATTTACAAGAACTTCTTAAATATATACAGAAATACATAGAGAGAAATGCAACATATTTAATTTAGAATTCTTTGTTCTGGGACTGTTAGCTTTTATAAATAGACATACTCCCATTAGGCCAAACACTTGCAGACCAGTATTTGTTAGACTTCTGCTGCACATTTTCTCATGCAAACATTCTTTTCTTTCTGTTTTTCATCTTCCATTAACAACAGCCAAAGGCCCTGAAGAATTCTAGTTTCTTTCTATGGCTAGTGATTTCAAGATTATTTTCTGTGCCACATACTATACTATACTATACCAAAATATATATTGCCACCATTTAGTGATTACTTTAGTAGTCTAATTCATTAATTTGCAATGCAGATCACAATTGATCTTGAGTATATGTCTGCATACTAAATAGTTCTATAAAAAGTAATCAGTAATTTCTATTAGATAATTTTAAGTTTATATATAGTGGATAAGCAAAAAAACTTATTAACATATCACTAAGAAGACCAGGAAGTGTCTGTTAAAAAAAATCAGCATTAAACATAAAGCCAATTCTTATTCCAATTCCCATTCCTAATTAATTAAAACTAATTAATCTTTTTCAATAACACAATGTCACACTTTCTTCTCATAAGCTGACAATACCCCATGAAGCCTGTAATGAAATAAATTACTCTTTGTTTGTTTGCTGGACAGAGGTCAATAATACCTCAGGGCAAAGACAGTCTATAGCCAATTTCTTAAAGAATTTCAAATTGAAAAGAAAAATCTTTCTGATGGGGAAAAACAAAAGGCACAAATAGCACATTAAAAGAAGAATTTGTGAGGCAGTGTGTATGCATTAAAAATCCGACACAGGGTGTGTGCACCGTGCCCTTAAAGCGTCCGTGTGACCTGGACCCAGCTGAATGCTCAGATCCCTGCACGGGCTGTGCTCAGCCCCAGGAGCCTGCACCTACCCCGGCTTCCCTGAGCTGCTGCTGCCCCGTCCTGCCTCTGCTCACTGATGCAAAAAGTGCTCAGTAATTTACATTGTTCTCAGTAATTTACA